GTGAATCCATACTGTAATTCTTTGTCTGATCTCTGAGACAGGGAAATAGTCTACCTGCGATTCCGCTGCGGTAAAAAAGAAAATATGAGTTTTTAAGGATTCTATATAAGAATCAGATGTTACCATGTGACGAAACAGCTGTAATTGTTTATTTAGAGTTATGAATGTGAAACATGCTGACCCATCACTGACGATAATTAAGTTTTTCCTACAGTCACCCGACAAAGTTGGCTTCCTTGTACTGTTTATAGTACAGAAAGCTGCTAATTGCTGCATATTTATACTTTGTCGTACGGTTTATACTTTGTCGTACGGTTTATACTTTGGTGCACATCAGGATTCCAACGAAACAACACAAAACAGTGTGGTTTTATTACAAAAACATGCGGAACTATATTCTCAAGTCGCGGAGCACATTTCTTGCCGAGGAAAAAATAGCGGAGTGATACGGACCGGGTACTACTTTCTCTAGGGCACCTATTTGTGTTGCCAGCTGAACCTAAAAACGTGTTGTATAGTGTTTAAATGACTAATTATTTATATGCTTTGTAGTGACTGTAGGAAAAATATAATGTGTAACACGAGTGCAAAAGGCCTTTGCTGCACTCGAGATCGTTCGTAAACATTGCTCTCGTGTGCAGCAAAGTGCCACGTTGCCCACTAGTTACACAAATAACTATTATGTCTTACGGTTGTTCTATTCAGATAAATGATTAGGGGTGGTTGACAATGTTTTCAGATAGATATTGAAATGAAAATCTCAATATGTGGATTCCCACTCAAGGGCTGCACACAAAGTACTTCAGTTGTTTGACCAAATACAAATTTAAATGTAGAATTGTTCAATATTGCTATAAAATGACATTTGTATGGTTATCAACGAGATTTATAGTAAAACTATTGTTAAGAGTTCAATTTCACGTATACCGACTATATAACAGTCAGCTGGCCGCTAAACAATAGAGGCCAGTATATACCAGTAATATACAGCTGTGGAACATTACATTTCGTTATGTCACCGATTACTGATTACACAACTAGCCGTTACAACAAATACGAGCGAACTGGTCCATAAACCTAGGGTTACGGCCTCGGTTATGACTCTGAAGAGGACCGGAACGAAACGCGTCGGTGGCGTCAACGAGTTTACGACCGCTTCAAGCTTTTTTCTCACTACCTCCTCTTGGATGTGTATCATCCTCAATCATGTTCGTTTTGTAGGGTACAGTATTAAGAAACGTAAGTTAAAATACCTCTACGGTTGTACATGTCTACCACTGACGAGCGAGCACCACGAAACAATAGAGGCCCCAAGATTGAACCCTGAGGTACTCCCACTATTCATTAGTTACACACCCGCGCTTGACTCCAGGCGAGGTCTACTCAAAAGGTTCTGTCTTTTTTGTTTTTGATGTTACATAGTGGCGAGAGTCTTTGAAAGAGTTTGTATGTATTAAGCTGTATACATCGAAGAAAGGTCTGGCGCTAAGAAATGATACACAAATGGCTAGTGAAAACTACTGGATATTCAGCTTTCACTTGCGTCTTGTAATCAGCTCACTTCATAACTTAACTGTTACTCTGGTTGCTTTTAATTCTCCAGTTATGTACTAAGCTCAATAAGCCTCGGGTACGATACGAGTGGTGAGCGGCGGGTAGCGTGATAGGCGCCGCTCTGACATCGGGTCTCTAAGGTGCGTGTAAATTTTTTGAGGGTGGCCACGATACTTCTAAGGGGTGAGCGACGTGATTCCAATTCTAAACAGATTTTCGCAAAATCGCCGCTCGCCACTCAGAAGAGTCATGTGCTTCAGTTCAGCCGCAACCAGTTGGAAACCATGCAGTGCTTTTATAAACCTACCTTATAGCTACATACTCCAACTCAATCTGCTCAAAATGTAGTCAAAAGTAGTGACATCTTCGTGTATTCAAAGAACCTACCGTCTTCCCTAAGCTACGGAATAGATTAATGGTGGCATTACTCAAAAACTCTTCTCTTTTTTCGGTTTTACCCCTATTGTCGTCTTCTACCCCGTTTATGTATATCAAACTACATTTTTCTTTAACAGACATTGTCAGATAAATAGCTCGGCATATTTTATATATTCATGATACTGTTCTCAATTAATTAATGTTGTCCTATCACTCCGTTCACTTTATATTCTTCCGTCACTTACTCGGTTCACTTCACAGTCTCCTGCCAAGTGTCAACCAACTCCTTCCTCTCGGAGTGACCGCGGCCGACGCCCCCGCGCTGCCGTTGTCCGACATGAGAGTCGTGCCGCGGGCCAGCGCACTCGATTGTTTTCATTTCGAAACCAGTCGGAACGTGGAATAGAAAACACCGACTATGAATATTCAACCAGCAGGATTATGAGACTAAACATTGGAGTCCGTTCCAGATGGTGAAACCATTACCATTTTATTAAGGCTTAATGACGTCATGTTGGTGTTTTCCGTGTTTAGGTTGCCACAAAGGACAATTCCAAAAAGTATTACCATAGATAAAACATACTCCCTTGTGTTGCTTAGTCTATGATAACGGAACGGTATAGGAAAGTAGTGGAGATAAGTTTCCTACTTCATCACTTTTTCTAACATTTTTCTTATGCATATCTACTCTGATATATTCACAGTACCACAGTACTTCCATGTTGAAGAGTTTGACTACAGGAACCCAAAGTAAAATTGTTTGTCAAGATGACATAACCTATCATTAGGTATTATTTGATCATTGCTTAGCTCATCATATTTTGCATATCGACCTTTAATTATAACTGTTTTTATGAAATTGAGGAAATATTTGATTTTACTTATATTCTACAAATGTATTTAATAATTTAATACTAGCTGCTATAAGAAAATTCAGTTTTGATGAACCCTTTATATTAAAACATATTTTGATAACCTAGTTAATACTATCTCTGCGTTGATACAGCAAGGTTTATAGAACCTTTTTTTTATTTCCATAATCAACGATATGGGTTTAGAATAAATAATCAATGACAAAATTTTATAATAAATAAACCTACTACATAGAGTTGTGTAAATTTTATATTACTAGATGGCCCGACAGACCCTGTCCTATGTCAAATGCTCATTAATTTTCAAGATTAGCTCATTCGCATGGCTCAATCACGACCTGGTTGAAGTTCCTTCGCTACGCTCACTTACCTTTAGGTTGGAGCTCGTTCGCTGCGCTCACTTGCCTTCAGGTTAGCTCGTTCGCTACGCTAACTCGCCTCCAGGATAAAGTTCGTTCGCTACGCTCACTAACCTTTTGGTTGCAAATTAGCTGTTGTCATAAATTTAAAAAAATAATAGTGCTGCACCGTGTTGGTAAACCTATTCACTTTTTAATGCTAGTGAACATCACAGAATCAAATTGTTTAGTTGTATTGAACCAGCTGTTAAGATTCTTTAATTCCATTTAAATATGAGTACTCATAAGGTTAACATGGGAAACTCCAGAGCCACTGGGGCGGAGCCCTTTTGACGGATCTGCACCAAACTTCACACAAACCATCCTTGAATAATGCTTAATAATGCCTGAAAGTTTCATTACAATCTGTCGAGCGGTTTCGGAGTCCATTGTCCATAAAGGACAAACAAACAAACATACATACATTGGATTTTATATATATAGATTTAATTTGTTTGGATCAGCTGTCTGAAATTGTGAAATAAGCATTAGACAGTTGTGATTGTTTACATTGAAATGTCAATGCAAAGGTAAACATAGTGAATTTTCTCATGCTTCCATGGAGACCAATTAATATTTACTTTTGAAAACCTCACCTCAAAACTTTGGACATTAAGGGGCACAGCCCGAGAGGAACTCAGGGCATAGAATAGGTCTATGAATTTCCTAGATATGTGAATGTCGACCATCTTTGTGCTTAATTTTGGGTGTATCGGTTTAGTGTTTTAGTCGTGAGATCCGCGCAGATAGACAGACAGACACCACCTCAATGTTATAATATGTAGTTTAGATTTATGTATGTTACATTCTTGGCTACTGAGACTATATTCGAGAGTGAAAGTGTAGGATTTCCTGGCTGAGTGTTGCTAGTTATCGATGGCATTATCCTGGCTAATTAGCTTTGAAATGGGACTTTCGCTAACACATGAGTTGCCAATAGTCAACTACCTTGAAGGTATTTCTGGTTTGAGATAGTTTTATGTGAGGATTCCAATGTGAAGGTTGTCTTTGTAGTTTTTAAAGGTCACACACTCAAGAAGGTTTACAAATGGGAGATGTTGTATTTGAATCAGGTTAAATCATGAAGGGCACTGACAAAGTGATAGATATTTCAATTCTGCAGAAGCACTTCTACTAATGGGACAAAGTCATTTTGTACTAGTGAGGTATTTGCCACATGTGACCACATAATTTTGGGTTGGTTTTTTTTTCAAAAAATAAATGCAAACAATCAACTGGTTAGCAGAAAGAACTTTTGGAATACAATGTTTAAATTTGCAAAGACGTCATTAGGGTTAGGGTAGTAACCCGCCAAGGTGGCTAAGGGTGTCACAGAAGTTAGCAGGTCTGAGAAACATATTGAGAAAGAGATCTTTTGTCACAATTTGGCTGCAAGAAATAATACAAGCTAATACCATGACATTGATGGTAGTTTTGGTTAGAATAGAAGTGAGAGGAATCATTTATAAACTTTACTTGTGTGGATTTTGTGTGGACATTTTAATATATAGAGTTCATAGAGAGTTGCATAAAAGATCTGTCTTACTAGGCTATAGTTTGTTTTCTCAAACTTTGTTTGAGTACAATAATTCTGAGAAATTTATCAATTAACCTATGTAAATTATGGGAAGGACTTAAAAACATAGTGATTAAAACAAAATGCATCTTATAGAAGTTAGTGCATGAAAGTATTATGATATAAAGTCAAATTTATAAGGATAGTGGAACTACACTTTTCAAAACAAATCTTTAGATGAGCGTACAAAAAAATATTCAAAATATTCAATATTTGTTTCAGAAAGCCTGTTTTTGGGTGGAGTAGCATTGTCAGGTCAATCACTAGCAGTGGCAGTAGGCTGTGTGGCGGGGGCAGTGATCTGTCTGGGCCTAGTAGCAGCGGCGGGGCTGTGTGTCAAGTATAGGAGATACAGAGCACTGCGAGACAAGGCACGGCAGAGCCCCAGCCTGGGACATCTGACAGGAACACAACGTAGCCAAGGTAAGTTGGCTCAAGGTACTCCAATAGCCATAGGTACTCTCCTAAGGTAGCCACTGGATCATACTAGAGCTCATCCTTCTCGTATGGGGACAAAAATTGTTGGCGCACGACGGATTTATACTGGATCGAGCAACCATGGATGTTCAATGTTGTGCAGGGCAGGAGATAACTTTGAGAACCCTTAGTCCTTGGCGCAGAAGTGGTGAATGTGGGACCCAAAGTCAAATGTCTATCTAGGAAATTTTAAATATCCAGATAATTTTGTTATGCCAAGCAAAGAGTGGAGAGACAGAGGTATAAGGTTATGTATGGGCCAGTATACTTTTTAAGGTTGACATTGTGAGCGAAGCTCCAGTCTCCGATAGTATCAACCAAGTACTGTAAGAAATAGAGCTACAGATATCTTGACAAAAGTTTTCTATATTTACACAGAAATGTCAAGACAGGAGAGAGGTGTGGCTAATAATGGCTAATAACATAACTTTACTTAAGAGTAAAATGATGTGGCATTTAAGTTAAGAGGTTCCAGTTTGTGAAAGATGACACATATATTATATGTCGAAAATACTATTTATTTTGCTTCTGAGGCATTAAAACAACTGTTGTCCTATAGTATTTTATTCCTTATATTTTAGCAATATATTTGCCTCAGGATCACTATTAAATTTCAATTCCTTCAAGAGGTTAAGTTGTATAGAACTTAAAATTTCTTTGGTTTGGTCTACTTTTAGTCTAGATCAGGTTGTTTTCTAGAACAAGACCATATTTTGAGCTAATTCTGCTATGTATAGTGCATATGTTGGTTTATAAAGATAAGTTGACATTTGACGATCGTTTGTTTGTGCTGTGTGCAGACAGTGATGACAGTGAGCGGCCAGAGTTCCTGAAGCATCTGTCGTCACTGCGGAGTGAAGCTCCAGTGTTCCTAGCGATGCTCAATGAGACGAGGAGACAAGTGCGAGAACTGCGGAGGCCGAACCGCAATGACTCCACTATCCAGGCGTATAAGTAAGTAACTAATTCTGAAACCCAGTGATCCAGAGTGTCCTCAGAGATATGAGATATCCTGTGTCAACTCAAATGGTTTACAAATTGAAGAGGGTAGATAATACTTCTTGCAGGTATCTCAATGTAGAAAACATACAAAGTAAGTTTAAAAAGACTTGACTTAATTTCTATGTTCTTGAGGTGGACGTAGAGACGAAACTAAAGCTCTTTACTCAACTTTGGGCCATGTGCTTTGCTTCTCCACTCTTGCCTTCTTCTCGCAGCTCTCTCTCTCTCCACCTATCTCCTCCAAGTCATCCTCGGTCTGTCCCTGTTCCTGCTTCTTCTTGGTGGCTGATGTTAATGTCCAATTTCCTTAGAATTTCCCTATCCACCCCTACTTTCTTAATTTAATAACATCAGTAATGGGAGATATTTGCACCCTCCTCCATCACCCTACGTTGGTGATCATATCAGGCCATCAGACATTAAAAATTCTTCTAAGGCACCGGATTCTGAATACCAGGAGTTAATTAAGAGAAACAGATGTTACGTTGGTTCCAAAGATCCTAAGATTGTTACTTCTTCTTAATTGGTTTGATCGCCAAATTGTAGCCAGCTGTGGAAACTCTCTTGGCCTTCCTGATCCTCTTTGCTACGTCCTTGTATTTCCCACCTGAAATAGATACGATGCTTCCAAGATAGACAAAATATTATACCCCTTCAATGACCTTTCCTTTTAACTCCAATTGCTGTTTACCTTTTTAATTTATTCTCATTTCCTTTGTTTCTCAGGCGAATTTTAAAACCAGCTTTCTTTCCTTCATTCTGAAGGTCTTTAAGTTTATCTTCCATATCTCTTCTTCCATGAAAGTATTCTGTCTGATAAAGTACAGTTTATAGACAAAATCAAGGTATTCTAGTCCATCTGTGAGTCCCACTGCCATCATCTGGGTCTTCTTGTTGCTTTCCTTATCACCCCATCCAAGACCATCAGGAAATGATTGGAGATAACAAAAAGCCCTACCTAAAACCAGTCTTAATTCTAATTGACTCGTAGAGCTTTCCCTCATGTTCTACTTGACACTTGTAGTCTTCATAAATCAGGTGGATGAGGTTGATTATTTTCTTCAGAACACCATAATATTTTAGAGCTCTCCACATTGTGCATGAGTCTAGGCTTGCCTTCAGCATAGGCTAAGTTGTTGAAAAGTCAGTCAAGTAAAAACATATCTCTAATTTACCCTTCTGCACAGAGAAGTAAGATACAGAGGATATATTCAATGGTACACTTAAGTCATGTCTAGCACCAGTTGCTGGTGACTAGAGCAAATTCTATTCGTCATCCTCTCCTGCTCTCCTTTCCACTCTTGCTATCACATACTACAGCGCCCTTGCTGTAGAAAGACCCTGTGCTACAACTGCTGTACACAAACGCTATGTGGCTATCGCTGTTTGGGCTCTTCCTGGCTTATTACAAGTACATTTCCGCCCCAACATACCAGAGCTGAAATCGCTGATATTACTTCTCTGAGCCTCATCAGTTACCGAGTGACTTAAAGTTATTCGGCTGGAGCATAGTTATAATCTTGTGTATGTGCAGGCCTGTCCTCAAGGACCTGTCCAGGATCCTGATCCTTCTGAACCGTCGGGAGGAGAGACTTGGTCCTCCGCCCCCGGACTGGGAGACTCTGTTGGCGTGGGGGGAGAGGGTCCTGAGGAGGTACAAGAAACACAACCCTAACCAGGTGAGAGGGGCTAGAGTTAAAACATTAAAAATAGCTTATGTTAGTTTTTTGTTGAGTAATCTGATCTAGTTTCTTTAGGTTTCTGGTGATGTTCAAAAGTTATTGTTTTAGTCATTTACATACAAAACCCACATTGCCACTTACTTCCAACATTTTATCAGTTGTATTCAACATTTCACATTGTCATGAAGCCTTTGATCCTGCAAGTACATGACTCTACTTCCTAAATACAACTCCAGACATGGTTGTAGGCCTATGTTTATATGGATTCTTGCAACAACATCCTAGAAAGCAGTGATAGTCTATTTATTAAATACCTGACACCGTAAAAAAAACAGCATTTACAAAAGTTTTCTGACATTTAAAAACTTATTCAAAAACCGAAACCATTATCAAAAGGTTGTTATTAATATTATATAGGGGGTATTTTTTAAAATAACTGGTTTTTGTGTATAAATCTGTACTTCGCTTTTACGTCACAACCAGGCTCATCACCATTTACTAGCATTATTTGCGAACAGAATTATACAAATTTAAGCTCTGTAGCTGTCATGTATGCTTCACTGTGTGTTTTTAATTTTTTTTATACAATCAAATCTCCCACCTTGTCCGAGGTAAGATCAGGTTTTTTTTTTACAAGAAACATTCCCAATGCCGACATTTATGGCCAGATGACTGGATACTATGGCCCTGAAGATATTGTGGAAAGTGCAGAAATATGCTAGGGAGTTTAAAAATGGCCGTGAAAATACTCATTTTGGAAGGAATTCTGTTTTTGGTGGGTACCCAGGCTTCTCAAAGAAGACCACTTAGAACGAATGATTTTACAGCCATTTTTACACTCCATAACCCATTTCCTCACTTTACTCTCACTCATTGCATAGGGACATCACCTTCAGTCATTTGGCGATGAGTGTCAGCTTCGGTTATGTACCTTATCCTATACATGATCTCGAAAACGGCTCCGACAATTTTCTTCAAATGTTGTAAATAGTTTATACATGGCCTAAAAACGAGTTTACTGCAGTTAGAACTGCCAACAAAAATAGAATTACGTAGAAAAATGAAACTGAAAGTCACATTTTTTTAACATTAGTCTGGGTTGCTAAGTAACCATCTTGGCTGAATTAAATAACAAGGAAAAAGTAAACGAAAGACTTGTAAGTAGTCTATACACAGTATACTAGCAAATACAAAATACAGTACAAAAGGAAAAACATCAGTTGTTACTATTGAGCAAAAAGATTATACTGAAGATTACTAAATACATTGTAGCAGGACTTTTTTTATCTATGATTGTAGTAAAGGCTAGCAGTCCGGAGTGTGGGAACTGTTTATGATGATTAGATTAAGGTATCTGCAATCCTAAAATGCTAAGGGAAGGGAGGGAAACAGGTCCGTGACGTAGGAAGTGGTGAAGGAAGTAGTAAAGGCAAGCTGTCCGGAGTGTGGGAACTGTTTATGATGATTAGATTAAGTTATCTGCAATCCTAAAATGCTACGGAAAGGGAGGGAAACAGGTCCGTGACAAGGAAGTGGTGAAGGAAGTAGTAAAGGCGAGCTGTCCGGAGTGTGGGAACTGTTTATGACGATTAGATTAAGGTATCTGCAATCCTAAAATGCTAAGGGAAGGGAGGGAAACAGGTCCGCGACGTAGGAAGTGGTAAAGGAAGTAGGGAGTAAATGCGAGCAGTCTGGAGTGTGGGAACTGTTTATGACGATTAGATTAAGGTATCTGCAATCCTAAAATGCCGTGGGAAGGGAGGGAAATAGGTCCGCGAGTTAGGAAGGAAGGGGTAAAGGAAGTAGTAAAGATGAGCAGTATGGAGTGTGGGAACTGTTTATGACGATTAGATTAAGGTACGGTATCTGCAATCTTAAAATGCAATGGGAAGGGAGGGAAACAGGCCCGGGACAGAGGAAGTGGTGAAGGAAGTAGTAAATTCAAGTACGGTAGTCTGGAGTGTGGGAACTAATTATGACTATTAGATTAAGGTATCTACAATCCTAAAACGCTATGGGAAGGGAGTGAAACAGGTCCGCGACGTAGGAAGTGGTGAAGGAAGTAGTAAAAGCAAGCAGTCCGGAGTGTGGGAACTGTTAATGACGATTAGATTAAGGTATTTACAATCCTAAAATGAATGAGAAGGGAGAAAAACAAGTCCATGACGTAGGAAATGGTGAAGGAAGTAGTAAGGCTAGCAGTGCAGAGTGTGGGAACTGTCTGTGGCATTTACGTATCTGCAATTTTAAAATGGTATAGGGAAGGAGGGCAAACAGGTCCACGGCGTAGGGAGTGGTGAAGGAAGTAGTGAAGGTGAGCAGTGTGGAGTTTGGGAGTGGATTAATGTATCTGCAATAATAAACTGCTTTCAGAGTAAACTAATGATTTTCCCCGAGCAAAGCTCAGTCCCCAGGTACTTGATAAGTAATTCACATAAGGTTTATCATAATTATAGCAGCATGTTTTTCTCACAATGACAGTTTGTTCTGCTTGTCCACAGGTGGCGCAGCTGGTTAACTTTCTCAAAGTGCCTGTGCAGACGCACCCCTCACCCCCCTCCCCCTACCCCTCTACGCTTACAACGTTTACTCCTTCTCACAAGTCTCGTCCCCTCCCTCCCACAACGGACTCTAGCTCCGCCCCCTCCACTCAACCTTCCCCCTCCATGCAGCAGCTTGCCATCAACGCCTTCGATGACAAGTATAGCGACACCAGAGAAGACAGGTATTGTTGAATGTTTTCAAACAATTTAATTAACTAAAAATATTTGCAAGTAGGAACAATCAAACTCTAGTCGGGAATAATGGCGATTGTTGCTAGCAGATCCATGATCGGTTAACATATTTGCTGTGGTTGCATGATTGCCAGCTGCAACCAAGCGCTGAAATAGCCCATGCGCTGTATGAATGAGTGCGCACAAATTTTTAAATTGAGTTTCTTCCAATAGGAGAGGTACTTGTACTGCATTCCAGTCGTAGTGGACATAGTTCTACAAAAAACCAATAGAAAAAAATTGACAACAGACTTTCAGTACATCACAGTAACTCCCCTTATATCCGACCACAGAACAGTAGAACCCCCTATATCCGACCTCGGCTTAACAGAATCCTCGGGGATCCTGACCTAATGGCTTTCAGTTGTTTCATGTCTTGGGCGGTAATGTCACGTTTGATTAGCTATAAGGCCGATCATAGGTGTGCCATAATCGCGGCAGAAGATCATATTGCTCTCGCCGACAGCTTAAGATGCTGACGGGTGTTGCCCCTCTCACGTGAATCGATTACTGGTGTCGTAGAGACTGCAAGATATGCTCATTGCTCACGGGTGCGTTGCTGTGGTTGCGGGAGATTTCTATCGTTGTTGCCAAGATTGCAAAATCTGGTCAAAGGTGTAGCTGTGGTTGCAGGAGACGATTACCTGTGTTGTCGAAACCGCAGGATGTGCTCATGGGTGTTGCCCGGGACATGATTACTGGTGTCGCAGAGACCACAAGCTAGGCTCCTCAAAATATCTGACCATGGCCTGGTCTCTTTATGGTCGGATATGAGGGGTTCTACTGTATTGCCAAAATCTTGGACGAAGTACCCGCATAAACTAAACAAGAATCACTATGATAGTGGTTTAAATACCTTATTCTTGCAATCCAATTGTTGTCTTCACAACTAGTTTCAACCTGCTAGGAGGTCATCATCAGGTGAGTACAAGGTCAACACGGGTCCGCTTGTCGAGTTAAATGTTTTTATCGGCCGTATATGTGTGCGCACTATGTGTTTATTCGTCGTGTGTTTGTGTGAATGTGAAAAAACTGTTACTGACGACCTTCATATGAAGTAATATCATCCTTGTACTCACCTGATGATGACCTCCTAGCAGGTTGAAACTAGTTGTGAAGACAACAATTGGATTGCAAGAATAAGGTATTTAAACCACTATCATAGTTATTATTCGCAATCCGGAGGCTACTCACACCACAATAAACAAGAATATCTATTAGGAAATAATTTGGATGTTCATAAAGGAATTCATGATAAAAAAATAAGGCTTAACACAATTGTTTTCTCAGACTAGTAAGAAATCCCTGCTTTAGACCAATTTACACCACTTGAACTCTCAAATAAGCTATTTAGACTCTATTGTCAAGAGTTTAACATGTTTACCCTGCGTAGGTCTCCTGCTGCCGCATTCCACCACAACTCCCTCATAGACTCAGGAGTTGACTTCAACCCCTCGTGGGAGTTCCCTCCCAGCAACTACACAATCCTGGCCGAGTGGACGGCCTCAGAGGAGCCCACCAGCATCACTAGCTACGACGACGACTTCTTCCAACTCGGCTTCCGGCCACAGGACGAGATCACAACTGAGTTATGATTCCAAGCTGCTCTTGCTCTAGTCTCAATATGGGTTTGTCCTTGAAGGATGTTTTCCAGTTAAGGTATTTTTAACATATATGGTTCAGTTGAGTATTTGAGGAAACAAATTTTAGCGGAAAAATGTGGTTTCTTCACGTGTGTGTGTCACTCGGTCATGCTACTAGAATCGTATACATGCATATCCTTATGTCATAGGTAATAAGGCTTGATTCCACTGGACCTCAATGTGTCCATTGTTAGACATTTTTTAAATCTGAAATTTGTTGACAGCAAATATTTGTTCAATGGTTTTCTTAGCATATATTCTTATTATTCTGTACTTCTGTAAAAAAAAAACATAAGTGCTGATTTTTCTCAACGTTTGTTTAGGTACCCAAAAAAGTTCTATTTAACATTCCTAAAGTAGTAATTGGTCAGTTGGTGGCTCAGTCGGTAGCTCCACGGACTTCAGGCCCAAGGCAGTGATGTCGTGGGTTCAGATCCTGGTACCTGCCACTACTTTTTATCAGTACAGTTCGTCCTTGTACTGAATCGGCTCGATCCTTGCTTTTCTGCATATGCTCTACAATCTGACCTCTCTGGCCCATGTGGACGGGCAAATGCAAGGTGAAAGAGGCTGTAAACCTCTCTAAAAATGTTTTTTCTACAAATCATAAACGTTATGCAGATTTTTTAAATGTTATAAACTACCCATAAATATGTGTCCTATTTTGTTTTTAAAAAATTACTGCTTTGTAATATCCCTTAAAAAAATACCTTTTTTAACTTGGGAAAAATAAATAAAGCCTTTGTACCGGCACATTTTTGCATTAGAATCAAGAGTAACACCACCTCTCCCTAAGGAAACTCATGCCCACAACAAATACCTACCATATTTTTCATAATTTCAGCATTAGATGATTTTAATGAATACCTATATTAAATAGCAATGTTTGAATTATTTCTCAAAATCAACTCATTACTACGGTTGTTGGTAGTTCCTTCTAATTTAAATATCTGATTTCGTAGTTAAGGAATGAAAATAAACCATAAAGGGTTGAGTGTCAGTTCAAGAGAAAGTTGTCAAAAGCAAAATATGTTTACTAATGTTGCTATTAATTTTTATTGAAGAAAAAGAGTTTAAAATTTTTAGGAATTTGAGGAATACAATTTTTTTCACTGGATACTCCTTCAAGGCAAATACTTAAAAGTGTTTAAATTATTTTAATAAATTCATTGGTTAGTGTAGAACTTCAGGAAGTGTACAATTTTGTTTCTGCGACTTGCTCATGAAAATAATACTCTCACGAAATATTATCAAATATTAACTCTATAATGATATTTTTATATTGCTTTTAAAAGTGTATATAATGATTATGTTTTGCAAACATAATTAAAACCTATAGTTTTCGATAGAAACTGAAGAGTACAAATCAGTTTCAGCTATTGAGTACAAGAAGTTTGTGTATTAAATACATCATGTTGTACAGTGTATTTTAGTTTATATTGTTTCATATTTTTGTTAATTGTTAATGTACAGAGCACTAATTTGATTGTTTGTTACACATTATTTTAAAAACTATTTGAACATAATAAGAATATTTATCTATTTCACCCTTGTGGCTCTTAAAACTTCAAATGCTTTTAAAAGTTTGGTAGATCCACAAGTTATGGCACAATGAAAGTAGCATTATTTTTTTTAATACTATTACATTAAAAAAACATTTTTCTTAAGTAGTGTTAAGCCAGTTGATCAGTCCAAATAAGGGTGTCATTTCCCTAATGGCAGACATGGCGGTTGCCAGGGGCCTCAAAGGATTTTTTTTGTTTTGGAAAATAAATTTCACAAATAATCTGTTAGGGATGAATACATTTTGAGCCAAGTTTGTATCTTCGTGATTGCCAAATTCTTCTAAGTCTCCGTGACTGCGAAAGATGTACACAATTTCTCCTTGACTTCAAGAGACGTTCTTGTTTTTGTCACAGAAGATGATAGTGATGTCTCTGTAATGGTGAAAATGTTCACTATTTAGTCGCGACCGCAGGAGACAAAGATGATGTCCCCGTAAACGTGGAATTTTGTGTCATGACCGCAGGAAATGTAGAGGTGCCTCCGTGATTGTGAAAGATATTCAATATTTTGCCGTTGTGACGCAAGCGCCACAGCTTCATGGCGTAAGGCGCTAGCATGCCGTTCAACCGGTCTTTTTTTCTTGGACCAATTTTTTCTAAGCTCAGCCGGCTCGCCTCTTCTCTCGCCCCTGTCTGCCCGCTGCCGTGATTTGACAAACTTCGAGTCTTCAAACTTCGTACAGAATGAACAATAATCAAGCTAAGTTAACTTATTAGTTTTAAGTAAAATATGAAAATATGTTAGGCTAGAAGTAAATCTCAGGGGGGGAAGCCACTGGCTTCGCAAGTACGCTGGAAAATGTAGTAAATAACTATCAAGTTTGATTCCGCCTAACGGAATCAAACAATCCTTTTCATGTTTCGAAGCCACATGTTCCAAGAGATTAAATTGCCGGTTAGAGGGGTTGCTTAGTTCATCTACCAGTTACAATTCAACCAATTCTTGCTTCAATCAGGTTTTTCTTATATATATTTATATATTAGTTTGGAAGGTGTCAATCAAAATTAGGGTATTTAAGTGTGTTAGTTAAATAAGTGTAATCAAAGCTGGCTTGGGCTGTCTTCCTGGTCTGGGTAAAAGGTCCAATTCTCTGGGCCCCCATCACACATTTCCAGTAATCCAAAGTAATACTGACAACCAGAATAGTTTAAAACCATATCACAAGATTACCTACACCACACCGTGAAGGTAAGAGACGTTAATGATTCCTCCACGACCGCAGAAGATATCCATAATTTTGCTGCAACCACAGGGGACGCTTATGATTTCCTCATGATGAAGACAATGTCGTTAATTTTCAATGTAGTTTCGTATTTGCTGCTTTTAATCGGATTATTGTATAACAATTAATATTTTATAAAAATCAATCCTTTCCAAAGCAATCGGATTTTGAAGGTTTATAAGGCAACTGTAAATTTGGCCCGAGATTCAAAGGTTGACATTTTTTACTTGTCCCAAGGTCTGGTTCACAGACCACTATTATATCATCATAGAATTGGAAAATTAAATTATTTATTAGCTAGTCTCCTACCTCTATTCACCAATCGTATTATAGAAAACCGAGTTAAACTAGTTTGTTCAGAATGTAGAGGGGTCGAGTTAATCGTGTTGAAACAATACTTTGTGTAATTCTAAACCTCCTAAGCCCCAGAGACTGACAATCTCTAGGAGCTACTACTACTAGCCACTACTATGGCTTCATAGATTCTTATTACAACCCTGGTCCAAATAAAAGAAACATATAAAAACAATCATCTTTGGTGCTCTGTGCAATACAAGTAACCGGTAACAAGTTTATATCTTGCTTTAACATCACCAAATCGTAATGTAAATATCACTATACTAGTCATCGCTAGATTAGGTTAGGCTTTTTGTTGATTGTTTTATTGAGATAAAAATCGTATGTCATCTATAATTTTATAACACATTGATAGTAAATTAAAACAATTAAAAATGATTAAATATGCTTGTAAAACTATGCGGTTTGTTTACCGTTGGTTTATCTATGATTAAAAAGTGTATGGTCGAAACTGGGCCCAGCTGTCCCCGATCATTGGGCTTTATATAAATGATACTGACTGATGAAACAGCTGATCTTAGTCAGTAACAAAGCTACACAGATCATCTCACAACAATCTACACTCATCCTTTACTCATATTTAAAAATTTTATTTGGTTAAAATACGCACCTAGGTGGCATCCCCATCTCAAATAATTTATAATAATAAGTCATATGTTACAAGGTTAATATAATATTACTTTACTTACAGGTTCATCAGATTTATATTGCCAATTAAACTTATAGAAATGTATTAAAAATATTTTTGCACTTTTTTACATTCTAATGTTGTAACGTTTTAAAGACCTACTGAGAACGACTGTGTTCATATTAAGAGCTATTTAGAGGCATATATTATAGTTAAACTGATTTAAATGGTTATGCGGAACTAAATTTGTAAAACCATTACTATCACTTTTGCAACAGTGCTAAGTTTTGTAAAATGTGAATGTATCATAATGTTGATGAAAAACAAACCTATCTACTGAATTTTTTTGTTAATATTTACTATTGTACCCATAGTCTAAATATCTGTTAAAACAAAAAATAACCAGCAAGATTATTTTGTACAAACAAACTATTTTGGAGAAGTTCATTTAAAAGTATTGCAATTTAGTCTGTTTTAATTTTGTTGTGAATTGTCCTGATTGTTTTTTTTAACTTTATATGTTAGAATGTATATTTCTCAAAGCTTTAATACCCCTTGAGCTTTGAATGATCTGTATTATTTTGCACTTTTTGACTTACCCCTACTTACGCACTTAAAATTTATGCTGACCGATTCTTAGAGAATTATCCATAAAAGTATTTTCCAAGAAAAATAAGAACAATTAGTTAACTTGATGCAATCATATCTGAAGTAAAATTTCTTATTACATTTTTAATGCATCTCTTTTTTTGTTGGTTTTATGGAAAGCTCTTGCAGTACTTCAGAAATACTGTATTAACTAATATAAATAAATTGATTTGCAAAAAAGTAAAATAAAAATTTAACCCCTTTAAAGAAGTTTAAGCTAAGTAACGTAAAGTTTGAAACACCTTTCTTTACATAAATAAAGTCTCATTGGTTAAATTGAATTAAAAACTGTATTCACACATTTATTTTTTTAAGTAGACCATGCTTAAAAGTACCCTCAAACAAATCACTAAACACTCTGCGGAAGAAAGTGCTCTCATCTGAATAAATTTCTTGTTTGATAAAACAAGAATTTTGAGTGAAAAAACTCCAGTAATTTTTTATTATTGGAGATCAAAGGCAATAAGGTTTTAGTTTCCAATTTAAATTATATTTTAACGATTATTACTTATAAATGTGGGTTCCATTTTTGTCAGGTTTTTAAAAAAAGGTTGTGATATAAATCTTCAAGACATAATAATGTGATTAAGTAGCAATATTGTCTATTTATATCTCTGCCATTGTTAAATTATAGTAATTATTACATTTTCATATATCTACTTATAATGTGTATATTGTACTGTATTGTGATGTGTATATTTCTTTTTGTTTTATCTCTGTAAATATATTTTGTACATGAAGCCTTTGTAACTGTAAAGTTGTAAATTGATAAATAATTACCAATTACAGTATTATTATTGAATTTACTTTTCCTTATCCAAATCTCCCTGATTTCAGACTGTTGATGTGCTTTACTCTTCATTATATATAAAAAAAAACATTACTACTTGGGAAATTTGGTTTTGAAATTAAGGCTAATTTCCAACTTATATTATAAAAAATACCTTCATCTGCTTACTCACCCCCCCCCCCCTCTAGACGGTTGGAGATATCTTGATATAGTGCTAAGAAGAACAGATAATAGTTACTGTAGCAAGCTACTTATTCTGAGGAGTTAGAGTATAAAAGAAAAGTTAGTAGCTTTTTGATTCTATGTTTTCATTGTTTGCAAATCGGTTATTTCAATGATAGCTCAAGAAATGTAGAACAGTGTTAATTCAGTTTTATTTTTAGCCTATATCAAATTGTCCAGGATTTCTCGCCCTTTTCCATTCTAATAATTACACCAACCCAAGTTTGGTCTACAGATGCAATATGCCAACGAATATCACCTACGTACAATCTCCAAGAAGTGGTAAAAAGGCAGAAACCAACCCATACAATAGATATGAGTTAACTCCAAAAGAAATAATTTTAAGAGTTACTGTGATATTAGGATTTTCTACTGATTTGGTAATAGAACATTACTAGTGTCCCTGTTGCTCGAATTCGAGCAATTGCTAAG